CCCCAAAACCCCAAAACCCCAAAACCCCAAAACCCCTCGACTGTGTTATACTTTTATTCAGAATAATTATTAGAACTTAGGCATAAATAATTGAAAATAAATAAAATGAGGCCGACTTTATTGCAATTCAGATCTCCCAAGGAAAGAACTCCAGCCTTTTACACCGCTACAGTAATTCACAATCGTAAACAATCATAGGTCACAACTGATGGGAAAAAGCTATTCAATGAGATTTTACAAAAAAGAGAGTCCGTTTCGAGATAATCTGAGGAGAGAGTCAACAAGCAACTTGCAAACAGCTCCCAAGAATAAAAGAGGCCCACTACTACGACTCTATAAAATAGTTAAACGTCCTTACTTAACAATCCTAAGAGCAACATAATGTTAAGTAATCATGGAACATTTTATTTGGCTGAGAGATTTTCTCAATATAAGGTATTTAGTTTATATTTCATGAGTTTAGGATAACACGAAACATTATCAGATGGTAGGCCCAGGATCATATAGCTCACATGTTAGTTTCGGGAAACTTGCAAAAGAACCATGCAATGCTATTTACAAAAAGCATAATTAAGGTGCTTAGGGCGAAGGAAACTTAGTATATATCGGCCAGAATATTATTATCGATAAAGAAATGATAAGGAGATTCCCAGGAGGTTCAAACTTCCATCCCTAAAAAGATATTGGCTTTTAATTGCCGAAGACTTTGAGAGATAGTGATTACCAATCTACTTCGTATTAGAAAATAGTCCCTTCTTAGGATGGAATGGATATTAACAAACAATCAATTAGAATTCCCTCAAGAAATAATAGAGTTAGCTCTAGTCTAGGAAAATATTAAAAGCATAATCTGATATCCCCTAAAAGAGAACTATAAAGCGACTTTTATTTTAGCTAGAAGCTAGAAGAAACTAAGAGAAAATCCCCAAGCTGAATGAATATTCCAGATATAGAAAAAGAATAATCCCAAGAAAAGATATTCCAATCAAGACCCCTAAGAATTAATAGACCGATGACAGCTTTACCAAAATCTAGGTCAGGATAGTTGAGAACTTAAATTGATCCAGAATTTTAATCACTTGCAATGGATGATAGGAGAGAGGTATAATTATTTTAATCAGACAAGGATGCATAGCATATTGAAGAGGAGGAATTAGCACATAGAGATAGCTATTAAAGAACTTAAACTACTTAAGAGACTCCGATTGTAGAAGTAGAACCTCATATTTTTACTAAAACTTACGATAATAGCAAAGTCAAGGCATTTAAGAAGGCTTCATTCGGAAACAGAAATGCAAATCATTTGTACCAAGCCTCAACAAAGTTTTAACCTTCTTAAACCTAGTATACTCACACAGGATATATTAATAATACTCCATTCCAAACAGGAGAAGAATTTTACTCTCAAAGGAAAAGTGAATTTAAAACTATATCATATCCTACCTCCGCAACTCCATATAGATTTAAGAGGAATTTATAATAGAGAGTTGATGATGATTACTTTAATCAAGTCGTTAGAAGGTATATGAGTTCAATGCAGCAAAGTAATAATAATAACGGCAAGAAAAAGAAAAACAGAAAAAGAAAGTCAAGAGCAAGAAGCTAACAGTAAATGAGAGTACAGAACAATTAGAATGAATTTGAGAGAGATGAGGACAAAAATGAAGATGATTTAATTGATATGCAAGTTAATAGGCTACTCAAGACATTCGATAAAATAGAAGGTAATAAGAAAACTCAAATAATAAGTAATGAGATATGAAAAATAAACTTCAAATACTATCTAAAATGCTTGATCTATGCAATTGAGGGTTTTGGGGTTTTGGGGTTTTGGGGTTTTGGGGTTTTGGGG